GATAACAAATATATAGATTAATGTAGGACATCACTGAATATTCCTCTGAGCCACATTTAAATAGGAATAAGCTGTGTGTTGCTTTCTCTTTCAAGGAAATGGACAATTGCCTTATTAAGGCCCCAATCTTGCAAAAGCTTACAATATATCTGGTTTTATGTAAATATTGACTTCAGTAAGACTACTAAAAATCAAGCTCCTTAAATATGTATATTCACTAATATAGGGCATACTGCAAATACCAACGAAATAAATTATTTTAAAGGAAAAATTTGTTATATCATTATATACATACACATATGGATATACATAAACTGTGATCCCTTATATTTCTCAGTACAGATTTTTATCCCCCCCAAAATCTGGTTTCCTATTTTCTTATTTTAATTTTTTGATAGAGTCCCACACCGTAGAGTTCCAAATGGATTCTATACACAAAAATGAACATATTTATTTTAGGGTTCTTCTAAACCAGGCGTTGGCATTGTTCTCATTACAAAGGCAAGTTGCGCTGTGACATACAAATGTCTGATCTAAACTACCTCCAAACTTGGCCAATCTCTACACCACCCTTTCATGTAGTTTGTTTCATGATATGACTTTTTCCAGAAGAGAGGTTGAAAACATAAGGGACAAATCAGACGAGCAGAAGTAGTAGTAGCAGAAGGAGAGAGAAGACTTCCCTTGACTTCCTTTGTGTTTATAAGACAACCCATTTCAAACTTTTAAAATGAGATTTATCCAAAAATGAAAAAATAATAAGCCAGACTTCCTTCCTTTAGAAAGGAGATGAAGGGGGTGAAATGAACGCAAGATTGCACAGTTTCTATAATGTTCTCTGTACCCTTCTGTTTTGTTTTTTAATACATGTAATTAAGTCACTTTATTAGAAACAGTAAAGATCTTCAGGCACTGAGTAATTCCACTGAAAAAATTCCATGTTATTGTGTAGCTGAGTGACTACTGGCCCATTCCTATAAGGTGTTCCTGGCCCTGTGCACTGGGCCCTTAATGCCTATTGATTTCAGCAGCTATTTATAGGTGCAACATGTCAGTAATTTGCAGTATCAAGGTGAACAACAACGCTCTAAGAATCTTAGAATAATCTTGATACAAGATTGATATAGATTTAGATTTGGAGGACCATGATAGTCCAATTAAACCCTTTGTTTACATGCAGCCTGTTTCATAGTTTCATAGTTTCTAGGGTCGGAAGGGACCTGAGCAGATCATCTAGTCTGACCCCCTGCCATGGCAGGAAAGAGTACTGGGGTCAAACGACCCCAGAAAGGTGTTCATCTAACCTCCTCTTAAAAACCCCCAGGGTAGGAACCTGCACCACCTCTCTTGGAAGTTGGTTCCAGACCCTAGCCGCCCTGACCGTGAAATAGCGCCTCCTGATGTCTAACCTAAACCTACCCTCTGCCAGCTTGTGACCGTTATTCCTGGTCATTCCTGGCGGTGCTTGGGGAAACAGTGACTCCCCCAATGCCAGCTGATCCCCCCTGACTAGTTTATAACAGGTCACAAGATCCCCCCTCAGCCTTCTCTTGTGGAGGCTGAACAGGTTCAGGTCC